TGGAGAAGCATGCCACTCTTGATCTCGGGGTCAAGAGTTCAAGCCCCATATTGGGTATAGAGATTACTTAATAAAACTTAAAAAAAACTCCACAAAATCTGGTGTACTTTTTTAATCAGATAACTAATAATCTAATCAGTGGAAGATCTGGAGGGCAAGAAAATAAATATATTGTGGATTTACATTTATATTACTTTGAAATAGAACTGAAGACAGCATAACTCCCAAATACCCATAAATTTTAAAAATAAAATTAAATTGATTTCCCTTAATGTGTTGGCTTTTTTGGTATGTGTATGGATTGTTTATTGTTGTTTTACCTAAAACTCTATCAGAGAAAGTCTAAATTTTCGTACACATAGAACATAACTAAGCATTCTAATCATTTTATTTACTCTTAATTTCTTAATTTTTTTGTCTGTCATACAGAAATCATTTTCTCCAACTACTATATCCCAAAATTACCCTCAATAGATTTATCATAATATTACTGTATGTTTTGGCAGCCATTAGAACATAGAATGAATTTAACAGGGATATGAATATGGTGATATTTTTTAAGTCTTCCAATATTTGGTAACTCAGTTCTCTAATTTATTCACACTTGGACTATAAGTATTTAATAGGAACAGGTCAAATAAAAATATTCAAATAACTTCCTTAAACTTCCATCTCAAAATTTCTAGTATAGCAATTTTTCCAAAGTGTTTACTATAACATCAATTTTGTATTTTTAATGCTTTTATAGCAAATAGTTGATAACATTAATGATTTTGTCTAGTTAGATAGTACCTTCAATATCACTTTAAGATATTTTTAACTTCCATCCAAAGTTTTTCTTCACTATCAAATACAGTTTCCATACATGTTGAAGGCCATATGTAGATATTTCCACTTCAGAAAATGACTTAAGAAAATCGGGGCACCTGGGTGGCTCAGTCATTAAGCGTCTGCCTTCAGCTCGGGTCATGATCCCAGAGTCCTGGAATCAAGCCCCGCATCGGGCTCCCTGCTCGGCGGGAAGCCTGCTTCTCCCTCTCCCACTCCCCCTGCTTGTGTCCCCTCTCTCGCTGTGTCTCTCTCTGTCAAATAAATAAATAAAATCTTCTTAAAAAAAGAAAGAAGAAAATCTTTTTTGTGGAACTCTTCTCCAAATTCAAAAAGCAAAATAGGGGTGCCCAGGAGGCTCAGTCAGTTAAGCATCCAACTCTTGATTTCAGTTCAGGTCATGATCTCAGGGTCGTGAGATTGAGCCTCACATGGGGCTCCACACTCAGTGTGGAGTCTGCTTAAGATTCTCTCTGTCCCTCTCCCTCAGCCCCTCCCCCATTCACTCACTCTCTCTCTTTCTCTCAAATAAACAAAGTCTTTAAAAAAAATAAAAGGGCAAAATAAACAACCAAAGGCCCACAAACCTAAGAGACAGAGTGGCAGGCACATGTGGATTCAACAGTTTTCTTTAATGAATGCTATGTTAGGGGCACCTGGGTGGCTCAGTCGTTGAGCATCTGCTTTCGGCTCAGGTCATGATCCCAGGGTCCTGGGATCGAGCCCCGCATCGGGCTCCCTGCTCGCCGGGAAGCCCGCTTCTCCCTCTCCCACTCCCCCTGCTTGTGTTCCCTCTCTCGCTGTGTCTCTCTCTGTCAAATAAATAAATAAAATCTTAAAAAAAAAAAAAAATCAACGCCATGTTGTTTGAACCTATTGAATTATCCAGAGTCCGGACATATTGCTGGACAATCATTACCCAAACAACATGGAAAAGGTGGAAATAGGGGAGCAAAAGGAAGCAAATGTGAACAAAATGAAATTGAGGGAGAAGATTAACCTGTTAAAACAAATATGCTGTAACTTCTAAGAAGCAACTGCAGAGCTTTTGTACATGATGCCTTCCAATGGTGAAGAGGTGGCACAGAAATATTTTCTTCATTAGTAAAACCAAGCTTTAAGCAGCCAAGAGTATTCTTTTGCATTTTTTATGGTGACAAGAATAGTCAGGGTGGGAGTTTAAGATTATGAGACTAATTCCGCAATCACATGTAAAGAACAATTTCATTGTCTTACAGTCACATTTCACTCAGGACATGAAAATCCAAACTGGGGCCTAGTTTCCAATGCTCACACTAAAGTTTTGTTTTTCCTGTTGTTTGTTTCTTTGTTCTAAATCCTTGGGGCACCTGCTGGCTCAGTCAGTAGAGTGTGTGAGTCTTGGTCTCAGGGTTATGAGTTCAAGCCCCACCTTGGGTGTAGAGACTACTTAAAAATAAAAATCTTTAAAAATAATTAAATAAATAAATCCTACCCTGGTACAAGAACAATATGGCAAAAAAAAAAAAAAAAAAACAAGACTTTATTGGGCAACCCTATATAATTGGAACATATAGACTGTATTTGGTCTTTGTGGTTCCAATAATCAGGAAAATGAACCTATACAAATACATTCGTCAGGCCTCAGAAAGCGAACTTAGCAACTGACATATAAAGATACACCTTGAGCGTGACCTGAGATCCAGGCACTCTCAGTATACAGCTTAAAAGCACTTTATAAATGAAAAGTATTATTATATTTTACTGTAATCAATATGAGCAAAATCAGTAAGGTGAGGAAATAAAGGATTTGTTCCAGTGCCACTAATATAAATTTCAGTATAAATAGTAAATGAATTTTTCTGTCACCTGAAAAACTATGTACCTCTGCCTAGTACCTGAACTAGTTACTTCAAAATAGTTGGATATAGTACATGTTTTATTGACCTTTAGTGAAAAGCTATGCAGCAATCTCAGAACCAACTCCAAAATTAAGAATGAAAGATAAAAATGTATATTGAAAAGAATCTTCTTTCAAATGAGAGAAAAAATGAAAAACTCCAGCTTTGGTTTGGTTTCTACCAACTGAATCTCCATTGTTCCAATTATTTCTGTAGTTCCAAATCTACAACTAGATAGTCTTCCAAACTCACAAAAACATCCTTAATCTTTTTAGTTCTCTCTCATTTCCCTGGACTCCAGGAGATTCAAGAAAACAACTACAGAGATGGAAAAGATGTTCGTTGTCTTAGCTTTGTCCACAGAGAAAGGATAGTTGAGGCCTAGAAGATAGATACTCCCCAAGGAAGGAGGAAAAGAGCAGATGTTCTGGAAATAGGAGTAACAGAACATGCACATTTAGAAAAGTGGGAAAAAGAATAGCGAGACAAGGAGCAGTCCAGGGGAGAGAAGACAACCCAGAATCAATGTCACAAGAGCCGACTGTTTTGAGAAGCAGGGAATGGTCAAAAATGTTGAAATCTACAGAGATGCTATGGAGAATGGACACTGAGCAAAGGCCACTGTATACGGTTAAAACAATATATTAATAATATTCCAGAACAGTCTCAGTGAAAATATACAGAATGAATTTAGATCATAAGGATATGAAGGAGACACGTAGATGTAAGTTGTTGACTATTCATCCTAGAACTGTGGTAGTAAAGCAAGTACGGTAGTCCCCATTCTCCCATATGTTCCAAGACCCCCAGTGGATGCCTGAAACTGCAGAGAGTACCCAACCCTACAGACACTCTTTCTCCTCTACATACATACCTATGATCAAGTTTCATTTATAAATTAGGGCAAGTAACAGTGGTAACTAATAAAATAGAACAGTGATAACATTATGCTGTAATAAAAGTTAAGTGAATGTGATATCTCTCTCTCTAAGTATCATATTGTACTGCACTCTTTCCTTAGGATGATGTGAGATGATAAAATGCCTACATGAGGAGATGAAGTTAGGTGAATGGCGTAGGCACCATGACCTAGAATATGGTGCTATTGACCTTCTGACGGTAAGTCAGGGGGAGGCTCATCTGCTTCCAGATCATGGTTGACCACCAGATACTGAAATTGCAGAAAGCAAATCTGCAGGTAATGGGGGACTAGTGCAAAATGCTGGGGCAGAAGCTACACTCAGATGAAAACAGACCATCGTAAGACATGATTCACATCCCTCCTCAGTTTGGGGCGCCTTTATCTTTGCCCTAGATTTATCAGCTATTTATTTATTCCCTGACTTTTCATTTCATGACTATTCGAAATATAACAATCTGTGTTATTTAAAAATATGCACTGGGACTTATTCACCTAGATATAGTATGAAGTACCGATAGTGACAACATTTTGAAAGAGCCCTTGAGCTACTTTTATTTAAAGGCAATTCAATGACTATGACTCTCAAATAGTAAATACATAGCACAGGTACATGCTAGTTCAATTTTCTTCACAATTATATGATACTTTTTAAACTATTATGCTTTGCACTCTGTTTTTAAAATTTCGCTCAAGAGTTACATACTATTCTACTGGATTACCATAATAAATTCAAAATGAAATTGAAAAAAATACACTACAAATAAAATCCAAAGGATATTAAAATTCTATTTAAAAGGCACTGTGCAACACCATAAATTACATCCCTTTCTCCTGCACTCAGAAATAAAATTAATGAGGGGCGCCTTGGTGGTTCAGTCAGTTGAGCATCTGCCTTCAGCTTAGGTCATGATCCCAGTGTCCTGGGATCGAGGTCGCAGAGGGCTTCCTGCTCAGCAGGGAGTCTGCTTCTCCCTCTGCCTCTGCCTCCCCCTATCCCCTTCACTGTCTCTCTCTCTCAAATAAATAAATAATTCCTTGTAGGAATTTTAACTATACAAGAGCCTAAAATTTGGGTGAGTGGCCACTCAGTGACTTCTAAAAAATTCAGTCACATTATTGCTATAATAAGTGTACATCGATATATAATGCCATAAGACAAATATATTTTATTCTATATTTTATTGTTATAGGGGGTGGGGAAAGGAGAGTGACATGGTGGCTAGGTAGAAGGAGGCACTGAGAAAGGTAAACTATCAGTTGTTACAGAGAAAGGTAAATTATAGTTGCCCATGACATTTGTCGCTAATTATAACAATCATCTTCCTAGACAACAGGAGGATAATGATACTCAATCAAGAGCAAGTACTCACAATTTCCTCTCCAAGCTCCACAGCCCCATCGGTTTCAGCTCCTCTGTCCTCCTCCAAGTGGGAACAGGATCATTCTTTCTTGAATTGGTTCTAAACCATCCTTTAACCCTTTTTTCTAGCCCATGATCAAAGAGCTCTTTGTCTTGGCATTGAGCAATCTGATTGAAAAAACTGACAAAGGAGAGAAAAGAAGGAATCTATTCAAACTAGGAAGATACACGGGAAGAATAAAAGCAAATTATAGACATCTAAAAACAATACATTGCCATAAATAAAATATGATGAAAGCACAGTTAGGAATTGACTTAGCTGTGCTGAATAATTCTCAAGGCATAATATACAAGAGAATTTCTAATCTTTGTCTTGAGCCTAAAATATGTCTGAAGCTATGTACTTCAATGCTAACCCTTAAATGAAAAAACACACCTGAAAACATAATTACTGAAGACTAGACAAATACTACTCTAAATAACATTGTCCCCAATTTTCCACTACAATTTTCATGTACTTTTATATGTGTGTGAAGTATGTACTCAAAATATATACTCAATTCTCACACACTTTCTATAATAAGGGCAATTTTTGAAGCATATAAGCAAATATAAGTTAACCAGACACTTTCATAAAGCTTGAAATACCACATGGTATAATGCCCTAAATGTATAAACCAGGGAAAAGCTCCGTGCTCTGATTTTGGGTTGATAAAATATAGTTATCATAGACCTCAACCACATCAAGAAATATACAGTAAATGCTGACCGGAGGTTCTCATTGTGCAATGAAGATAGATCAAAGTGAAGTAAATTTAAATTGCAGTAGGTGCAATTTTGAGCAAACAAGAAGCAATCTTTGATATGTCAGAAAAATCTACAAAGGGTGGTAATGGATTTAGCTTGAACTGTGAATGAAAGAAACAGCCACTCATTACTGTCACCGCTATCATATTCACCATGGCCAACCCTGGGACCATCATCATCGTCAGTATTTATATTCAAAATCCCTACGTAGTCCCTAATATCATAAACAATTATCATACACTGGGTAATTCACTTGCTAGGACATGTTCAAGTAAAACAATGTTCGAGGCAGGGACAGATCCAGTTCATGTGGGACTCGAAGCTTATACATTCTAGGGGGTCCCACTTTAAGAGAAAAATACAAGATTGTGGATACAAAATTAGGCATAAACATAAATATTTGGAATGAAAAAAATCAACTGCCACAGATTTCAGAATGTAAAAGCTGACAAATACCACAAACATTACAAACTCTAGGAAAACACATTTTTACAAATAACCTGTCAGACCAACACTGCGATAAGATTTGCCTACATTTTCTGGCCTCAACTTCTTTGATTCTCTCTTTTGTAAAGATGCTAGAGAGCTAATTTAGTCTCTACTTGAACATGGTTTATAACATTTTTTTTTTAATTTTTATTTATTTGACAGAGAGAGAGAGACAGCGAGGGAGGGAACACAGGCAGGGGGTAGTGGGAGAGGGAGAAGCAGGCTTCCCGTGGAGCAGGGAGCCCGATGTGGGGCTTGATCCCAGGACCTTGGGATCATGACCTGAGCTGAAGGTAGATGCTTTACGACTGAGCCACCCAGGCGCCCCCATTTTATTTTCTTCTTATTAATATTTTAGAAATGACTCTTTTTGCTTTTTGATGCATTATCGGTAATTTACTTTTTTTATTTTTGCATTATCAGTAACTTAAAGTTTTGTTGATAACTTGGGAAAACTTCTGTCAGGTCTTTGTACACATGAGCATAGAATTTAGAACAATTTTGTACAGACAACATCCTGGGTCTATAGATTTATATATTGTAAACCGTATTTTTCCTCCAATGGCCACACAGGTCCATGCTCAATGCCATAGCATATGTTCCCATGGCTTTGATATTTCCCATGGAGAAGCAAGTGACAACAGTAGGCAGCAGAAGTAATCCCAGAAGTCATTCCTAAAGCAAGATGATCAGCACTGATTTGATGATACTTGAAAGCAACTATGAATCACATAAACAAATACCAATGAATCCAAACTAAACATATCCCTGGCTCAGCTTCTCTTTCTGTGATCCCTAAAAATATCATTTGACATTAAGAAATGTTTGGGGCTAATATTTATTATGTTGATTGTATATTAGGAGCATATACATGCATATGTCAAAATGTATTAAATTATATACTTGAAATATACTCACTTTATTGTATGTCAGTTACAAATTTGGTTTTTTTTAAAGATTTTATTTATTTATTTCAGAGAGAGAGAGAGCATGCAAGCATGAGTGAGGGGAGGAGCAGAGGGAGAAGCAGACTCCCCGCTGAGCAGGGAGCCCAATGAGGGGCTGGATCCCATATCTCTGGGATCATGATCTGAGCCAAAGGCAGATGCTTAACCAACTGAGTCACCCAGGTACCCACAAATTTGTTTTTATAAGCAATGTATCAGTCCACATCTAATCAGGGTACAGAAAACACACAGTCGCTTGAACAGAGAAGTTTTGATAGAAAGAAAAATTGATGATTGAGTGTTGTGAGCTCTTTTCCTGGTAGCCCTGCAGGGTCCCTGTATTCTATATGAATGCATAGCATGGTATGACTAATCTAAGAGTCTTTCATAAATAAAGTTGGCATAACTCTGAAAAAAGAATAATTAACTAATGAGGACAATGATAAAGTTGTAAGGAAAATTTTTTAAAAATGTAAGTTTGAGGGAGAATATTTAAGAAGGAACAAACTTGGAAGTGGTGCCCTCCTCAAGGCTGAATGAAGACCATATTGGAAAAGTTGGTCTTACCACACACAGCATGGCAGAGATGTTAGCTGGATTGCCTAAACCAGAGATGGTCCATGGGTGTTAAGCAGTAGGAATGAATGAGTGAATGAATGAATGAATGAATGACCAACCTCCCCCAGTTGCAGGTGAAACAATGCTGGTGAATGAGAGGACAAAAGGAGTCAACAATGAAAAGGGGAATGCTATTACACTGTTGGTGGGAATGCAAGCTGGTACAGCCACTCTGGAAAATGGTATGGAAGTTTCTCAAGACGTTAAAAATGCAGCTACCCTACAACCCAGCAATTGCACTACTAGGTATTTACCTCAAAGATACAGATGTAGTGAAAAGAAGGGCCACATACACCCCAATGTTCATAGCAGCAATGTCCACAACAGCCAACCTGTGGAAGGAGCCAAGATGCCCTTCAACAGATGAATGGATAAAGAAGATGTGGTTCATATATACAACAGGATATTACTCAGCCATCAGAAGGGATGAATACCCACCATTTGCCTCGACGTGGATGGAGCTGGAGGGGATTATGCTAAGCGAAATAAGTCAAGCAGAGAAAGACAATTATCATATGGTTTCACTCATATGTGGAACATAAGGAATAGCATGGAGGACCACAGGGGAAGGGAGGAAAAACTGAATGGGAAGAAATCAGAGATGGAGACAAACCATGAGAGACTCTGGACTCCGGGAAACAAACTGAGGGTTGAAGAAGGGAGGGGGATGGGGGGATGGGATGATGGGTATTAAGGAGGGCACGTGTGGTGATGAACACTGGGTGTTATATGCAACTAATGAATCGTTGAACACTACATCAGAAATTCAGGATGTATTACATGTTGGCTAATTTAACATAATAAAAAAATATTAAATAAATAAAGGAGTCAAGAATGGAGCTCCAGTGGCGCAATCGGTTGGCGTGCAGCACTTATACAAAAGGAGTCAAAATGTTGGGGGTCACACTCACTGAGGGGGTGCTGTGCAGCAAGAGATATGCAGTGTCTTGTCAGGAGGACTGTGGAGAATGACCCTATGGGATACAAATGGGAAGAGGTTGGTGGGATGTTGTGTAGAGGAGGTTGGAGTGTTGGAACCCAGTTGACCAAAAGGCCTGAGTGACACCTGGAGAACATGGCATCCACGTCAGCAGGACCACAGTGAGGGCAGTGGCCAGGGCAGTGAGCTTTCTGAGGAACTGAGTCCTCCATGTGTGTTACTGGGGCCGTGAGATGCTGACAACCGTGTAGCAGGGGAAAGGGACAACAGCACAGACTGGAACTGTAGAGTCTGCAATTGTGAAAGAGTTGAAATGTTACCAGCCTGCCACAGAGGTCTGTGTGTGTGTGTAGGTGTATGTATACAGAAATATGTAGGGGTGTGCATGTGAGCGTGTGAGATCTCTTGTTCGGGGAATAGACATTTTATATCCGAAGCAGTGGGTGTCCCTTCCTCATGATTCAATTCTTCCATACGGCGACTTGGTGGAGCATCACATGCTCTATTTCCACATGTGGAAATTGTTCCAAATGAAAATTCAGGATGATGTAGTACAACACATGTACCCTGTGTGTAAAAATGAGCCTTGCACCACAGGAGAGGAACTCTAAAATTATGAAACTCAAAGCATATACAGAGCTGCTGGCACACCAGCCATCCTCCCCTTTAGAGAGACCTTTGCTCCAGAATATAAACAAATCCTCTCTGGAGATCCCCAACTCTCCCCTCTATATAGCCACCTGGAATATAAACAAATGTAAACAAAATGGCTCTGGGGAGATAAATCACTATCTCTCCCTGGATATCTCTATCTTTATAGTTCTATTCAATCATCCTTTAACTCGGGTGCCAGAGTTCTTTGCTCAAAAGCCCTCACTGCAAAAATGTGAAAATATACACAGAGCATTGACTCCCAAGAGGAACCAGGAAGAAAATTCACTCCTGTATAGTGTCCCCCAGTGACTTCTTTTGACAAAGCTTATTATCACGCTTGCTGCAAAGGAGAAAAGTTTAAAGCTCCATTCTCACAGAGCAGGTAAAGAAGAGTTGATTTTGAGCTGAGAGGTAATAAATTGATCACTGGAACACCTAATAAAAATATTATAAACTTTATGCCTGTAAGTTTGAGAACTAGATGAAATGAACAAATTCCTTAAAAGACACAAACTACTAAAGGTCACACAAGAGGACACAGTCTGTAGAGCACTGTATCAGTTAAGAAATTTAATTTGTAATTTAAAATCTTCCCACAAAGAAAATTCCATATCTAATGGCTTTATAGGCCAGTTCTTTCAAAACTGAAGGGAGAAATAAATACTTTCCAACTCATTCTGTGATAATAGCATTATACTGAATCCAAAATCAAATGCATTACAGGAAAAGATAACTATAGACCAGTATCCCCCATGAACACAGATGCAACAAGTTTTTAACATTTTAGTAAATCAAATCCAACCATGTGTGTGTATAGATAGATAGATAGATAGAGATATATAAGTAT